TCAGATAGGGGAGGTGAATTCCTTGCAGGTGAGTTTGCAGGTGTGTGTGAACAGGCAGGAATCAAGAGGCATTTTATAGCTCCTTATTCACCCAGCAAAATGGGGTTGTTGAAAGAAGGAATAGAACTGTAATGGAGATGGCTAGGGCTCTGTTGAAAAGCATGAGCATACCAGGAAAGTACTGGGGAGAAGCTGTCAGGCATTCTGTTTTTCTCTTGAACAGATTGCCAACAAAGGTGTTGGGTAATACAACACCACATGAAGCTTGGACTGGGAGGAAGCCAAGTTTGGGACACTTGAGAGTGTTTGGGTGCACAGGACATGTGAAACCAGCTGCACCTCATCCAAAGAAGCTTGATGACAGAAGCATGAAGCTAGTTCACTTTGGAGTTGAAGATGGGAGCAAGGCATACAGAATGTATGACCCAAAGTCAAACAAGGTGGTTGTAAGCCGAGATGTAGTGTTTGAGGAAAACAGGAAGTGGGATTGGAGCACTGTTTTAGGGGGAGATAGCTCAGCTGAGTTTTCTATAGAAGGTGAAGCTGTGACATATACTTATGTTGGTGGTGATGATGATGATGAATAGACTTGGCAGGATGTGCCAATGGGTAATGGTTCAGAAGCTGTAGTTGAGATTTCAGACAGTGTGCCGAATTTACTACAGTGGCAAGCAGAAGAAAACAGTCAGCAATCATGCAGTCAGACTAGAACTTTTGTTGCTGATCCTTCAACACCCCAACATAGTGTGTCGGTGGTTGATGTTTCTACACCATCATCAGCTAATGAGAGTGGAGCCATGAGGTTCAGAAACTTAGATGAGATCTATGACAATACCTCTGTCATTGAATTAATGGACTCTGATGTTGAAGCACTACTTGTAGAGGTAGATGAACCATCTTGTTACAAAGAAGCAGCTAGTCATCAGGAGTGGGTGAAGGCAATGGATAGAGAAATGGAATCCATTGAGAAAAATAAGACCTGGGAACTGGCTAAGTTACCTGCAGGCAAGAAACCCATTGGTCTGAAAATGGGTGTTTAAGGTGAAAAGAAACTCTGAAGGTGAAGTGGTGAAATACAAAGCCAGATTGGTTGCAAAGGGATATGTACAGAAGTATGGCATAGACTTTGAGGAGGTGTTTGCTCCTGTTGCCAGATTGGACACAGTGAGATTGCTATTAGCATTTGCAGCTAACAATGGGTGGAAAATTCATCACTTGGATGTGAAATCTGCTTTCTTGCATGGAGAATTGGAGGAGGAAGTCTATGTGTCACAGCCTGAGGGCTATGAAGTAAAAGGTGGAGAACAACATGTGTTCAAATTGAGCAAAGCTCTTTATGGCCTTAGACAAGCTCCTAGAGCCTGGAATGTCAAACTTGACAAAAGTCTGAAAAAGTTGAATTTCAGGAGGTGTCTCAGTGAGCAAGCAGTGTATACCAGAGGAGTTGGGAAGAATGCAGTCATCTTAGGTGTGTATGTTGATGGCCTGATAGTGATTGGAGGGAATCCAGATGAAATCAGCTTATTCAAGGAGCAAATGATGACTAAATTTGAGATGACAGACTTAGGTCTGTTAAGCTACTACCTAGGTATAGAGGTAGAGCAAAGGGGAGATTACATTACTGTTAAACAAAGTGGATACGCTAAGAAAATATTGGAGCAATTTGGAATGGGTGATTGCAATCCAACCAAAGTCCCAATGGAGCCAGGGTGTAAACTGAATGTTGACAAGGAAGGGCAGAGAGTTGATGCAACAGATTATAGAAAGATGATTGGATGTCTGAGATATCTATTGCACAGCAGACCTGATCTGTCATATTCAATTGGGTTGGCTAGCAGATTCATGGAAAGACCAACAGTGATGCATAGTAAAGTTGTTAAGCAAATCATGAGATACTTGAAGGGCACTATAGATCTTGGACTGGTCTACGTTCAAGGTGGGAGTGCAAACAAGATTGTGGGTTACACAGATAGTGATCATGGTGCTAACACAGTTGAAAGGAGGAGTACATGTGGGATGGCGTTTTATCTGAATGAGAACCTTATAACCTGGTGCTCTCAGAAGCAAAAGACAGTAGCACTGTCTTCCTGTGAGTCAGAGTTCATGGCTGCTACATCAGTAGCAAAGCAGGCATTGTGGTTGAGGAATCTGACCAGTGAGATAACAAAAGAGAAGCCAAAGATAGTGACTCTCTATGTAGACAACAACTCGGCCATTGCACTCATGAAGAATCCAATGTTTCATGGGAGGAGTAAACACATTGATCTGAAATATCATTTCATCAGAGAGTGCATTGAGAAGGGTCAGATCTCAGTGAAGAGAGTGAGAACTGAGGAACAGAAGGCCGATGTGCTAACCAAAGCAATGCCAGCAGTGAAGTTATCAGTCATGAGGCATTTGATCGGTGTCAGAGACCTCAGTGTCTGTCAGGCTTAAGGGGGAGAATGTTGGCGTAATCCTGCCAACACTGATGAAGAAGACACCGAGCAGGAGAGGAGCGAGTCAGCTGGGCGGGAAGGCGAGAATTCAAACGGAAGGACGCCAGAGCGGAGCTGCGGTTGCGGTGACCGCGTCCATGACTAGGCGGTTTCTGCAGAGTGTGTTTTCCGAGTCTTGTATCCACGTGTAGCGGTTTGTTTAGCTAATGGGTGTGTGTGAGATGGCTAATATATGTAGCTGGTAGTTCGAGGAGTCGAGTTATCACATTGTAAGCCGGTTAGGCGTATGGTACTTTGAACATTTGTGAATGAAAAAGGGCACTGTCACCCGGGAGACCTCCGGGCAGTTGCCAAGACAAACACCTGTGTTCATCGTACTTTGATCTTTGATCCAGCCACCATACAGCGTGTAGTAATCGAGATCCTAGACTTACACACACGCCTCCAGTGTAGTGTGAATATAATGTACGCATATTAGTGGGGGCAGCACCCATATGGCACGCTGTGAGCATTTTTGTGACTGCTAACCTCCAACGAAATGGTGCAATTTCTTTAAGGTCCAGCACAATCGACAAGAAAAATGCTATACACCTTAGTGCCTGTTTAGTTCCTAAAATTTTGCAAAATTTTTCAAGATTCCCCATTACATTGAATCTTTGGACGCATGCATGAAGCATTAAATATAAATAAAAAATAAAACTAAATACACAGTTTAGACGAAATTCACGAGACGAATCTTTTAAGCCTAATAAGACTATGATTGAACACTAATTACCAAATAACAACGAAAGTGCTACAGTACCATTTCCCAAAAAAAAACGCCAACTAAACACGGCCTTAGCGATATACAACAACCTCAAAGGAAATTTATATTCCTTAGCAGTTATACTTGGTCTCTCATGGGAATTTTAGGCCCCCGATTGAGGTAATTTCTTTGTCAAATTTATTTCTTTTTAAAATTAGAGAGGTTTGATTTCATTAGAAGATAGTGGGTAGAAGATAAACCATTAGCTTTGGTATGTTGTACCCAGGTGGAAAACATCCCTTCTACATCCAAATTTTGTGAGCATGTTATGTAATAAAAAAATCGGATGCATGGAAGGGAGTTCTAGGGTTTAGGGTACCAACTACCAAGACTAAAGGTACTGTAATAATTGGGTGAATTATTCTTTTTGTCACACCTAAATTTTTAGTTACACTAATTCTACATAAAAAATTACACGGAAATAAACACCGTAGTTCTAGTACAAGTTGAGTGAAAATCCAACCTAAGTTGTCAAAAATTAAAATCGAGCTGTAGGAGAGAAGATTTACATCTGAAATTACCATAACTCTAGTACTAATTTGGTGTAAATCCAATATAAGTTGACACTAACTAAAACTAAAATACGGGCGTAGAGAAGGACATATATATCAACTTCTGCTGTTTTTTATTTGAGAATGTTCAAATTTGGTTGCCACCAAGAAACGGGTGAAAACACGAGCCTTCACACCCGAATTTTGCAAATCAGCAATGACAAGATGTGCACCTTTGATTTTTGATCTGAGTATGGCAAGTTCACTAAAGGTTCCTTTAATTAGTTTTCTTTACTTATGCTCTGAACCCGAACAAAAGGTGGGCTCTGATTACATATACTAGATAGAATTCAGAAGTAGCCTCATCAGTCTGATGATTAATTAAGGGTACATGCATGCATGCTCCGATCAGTTAATTGATTGGATCTAGGCATCTAGCTAGAACTGGATGTTGGACTGGTAGACGGTGTCGGCCTTCCAGTCCTCCGGGATGACGTCGCTGGCGACGAGGTCCTTGCCGGACTCGCTGGTGAGGCGGATGGAGAAGGGGCCCTTGAGCGGCCTGTGCGGGTCTATTATCCTCCAGACGGCGCCCCACGAATAGTGCATCGGCTCCCACTCCGGCGACGCCTCCCGCTTGAGGTCCATCTGCACGATGTCGCCGTCGCCCGCCACGAACTTGACCAGCAGCGATAGGTAGGAGGGATTGGACCCGTGCTCCACGTGGAACACGATGTTCTTGCCGGGCGCGTACTTGCACCGCACCCTGCATGCAGTAGCCAGTCCGTCAGTCACGTTATTTCTGCTGCATTTATATATATACATGATGATGATGAAGGAGTTTTTTATTTGAAATCATCGTTCGACCTCCTGAACTCGAGGTCGATGATGCCACGGTGGCGGAGCTTGTCGGCGAGGCCGGGCTTGGCCATGGAGCCGAACGCCGTGCCGCTGAGGTCGAAGTGGTAGGGAGCGAGGGGGTAGTCGTTCACGTCGGTTATGAACACCGCCACGGGCTGGTCGGAGCACTCGTGTGGCGCCGTGCATCTGATCTGGTAGCAGGAGCCGCAGCCCTTGCCGTCCTTGAAGATGGGGGAGTTGCCGCAGGACGTCATGCCGCTGTAGGGCGGCAGGTTCACGTCCTCGAACCCGCACGCGCCGCCTGACAAGTGATCGAGAAACGCATGCAGGACGACGACGTGTCGTCAGGTGGATCGATCGAGATCATGCATGGCACGGGTCGAATTCAGAATCTCGCGTACGTACCGTTGTCGACGGGGCCGGCGCCGACGGGACTGCCGTACCAGGTGGCTTTTGCGGCGAGCCACTTGCCGTCGTAGTCGGCCGTGATGTTGGGGCCCGGCGGCACCTTGGGGCCGCCGTTGGTCCAGCACGACACGCCGCCGACGAGCGCCGCCAGGACTACGGCGGCCACTGCAACTACGACAGCATTGGGCTGCAGGGATCCCATCTCTTTGCTAATTGCTAAAGTAATTAATACCGTGTTAATTTGTTGAACTTGTGTGTGTCGATCACAGTGTCGTTGTGGCTTGTGACAGACGACGACGGTGTCGGTGTGGAGACGACGACCTGCAGCTACGTACTTATAGGGCGGAGTGGATCGGAGAGGGTGGTCGGACGGACAGACCCGTCCCGTCCCGGCCCGGCCCGCCGCTGGTTTCACGTTGAGGCGGGTTTGACTGCGGAGGCGGCCGACCGGCGCTGACTACGCTGTCCTTGTGCGTTCATGCGATCTTTGGTGATTAATGCTGTGAGTAGTATTCGCGGCGTCTGTGTTTATTGTTTTCCATAATTCGTTCCAACTCGTCGATTTCACTACGTACGTACTGGCACCACCAGCAAATAATCCTTGTAGATTTGATGCTGGCATGACTGGATATATGGAATGTATTAATGCTTCGATATCGTTTACCAAATGTTCTCGAAAAAAAAAACTCTTCTACCAGATGTTTTGCAATAATAATATGGTATCTCTTCCCGGGCACCCGGCATGCGTCTTAATTTATTATTAGCAATAAAATATTTCTGGATTGCCTCTGACATTAATAGCCTCCTGTTGGATTACCTCGATCAAGAAATTAATATCTCGCTCGTCTTCTGTCTGATCCGATGTAATCCATCATCAGTTGTGCAAACACACACCATTTTGAACGATCCAGAATCCCCCAGCCAATTTAAATTTTTCAAATGCGGCGCTTGAGCAAGTTATGAGTACTGTACTGAACGTTCAATGTTCCTTTCCGACGGGCTAACAAAAGATAAATTCATCAGATGGAATGGCATTTGCGCAAACGAATAACAGGGATGTTTCGTTATTTCGTTTGATTACATGGTCTTTGGTTACATGGGTGGATATTATTGTATTAGGTTTGTCAAGTCAAACATTTATATCTTTGACCAATGATTTTTTTTAAACTATATAGATCCATGACATAAAATTTATGTTTTTAGATTCACTATAAGAAATACACTTTTCATTATATGTTGTCAAACTATATATATAATAAAGACTTTTTGAAATAGATGGTTAAATATAGTAATATTTGAGTTAGGACAAAGATAACGTGACATGTGAAAAAGAACAAAGGGACCACATTGCTTTTTGATAAGTCAGTTAATTTTAAGTTTAGCTAGATATATATAGAAAGTAATATCGATATTCATATCTTTAAATAGATTTACTATAAAAAAATATGTCGCGTGATTAATCCATTTATACTTATTCGGCATCATAAATATTAATATTTTTTATATTTCGTTGAATTTAATATTGGTTAACTTCTTAAAAAAAGGAAGATATGCATTTTTTTTTGTCAGAGGGAGTACTTTCTCGATGGTCTGAATTAACTGTAATGTTAGCTAGTTATGTAGAAGAAGAATATTTGTACCTAATATTAAAGAGTGAAAATTTCTTCCTCAGTCAGTTGCCCTTCACTCCTTGTTGGGTGTGTTTCACCCCTTCCTTACGTCTCTCACTCCTCTGCCATATTGTCCCAATCTCACCCTTCTCACTTTAAGTTTATAGCTGCAAAATAATTTTTTTTAACGAACACATCCGACGTGTGTGTTTCTATTGACATGGCAGAAAAAAAACATAAGAATACAACCCTATTAGGCCATATAACTAGGCAACCAAAATGAAACTAAAAAAGAACCAAATGATTCGTTGCGTGCTTTAAGCCGTCAACAACTCAATCACCTAGCCGTCAAAGAAGATCAAACGCCAAACAGATCGCCACTAGACCAAAAAAAAACTACAAATGCTCCTCCCAATTCAACATTGCCCAACCACGCACCATTAAAAAACATAGACTCTTGCATGTTGGCAAAAGCAGGAGTGTAAAGAGAGGAGTGCGAGAGGATCTACAAAATATCTGTTGCTCTTAGAATTAATTTAATTTAAAATTAGGCTAAACATAATTAAGTTCAACAAAAATAACTAGATTATTATTGTTAACGCAAGCATCACATTAATATATTTGCTAGTTTAAATAAAAAATTTACACCTGATCATTGCCGTACGATCGACCACACGAGATGGACAGGACCATTTTTCTGCTGTTTGGCCCATGAGCCCAACGCAGGTATCGATTGTTTTCTGGCGTTCGGCCCATGAGCCCAACGCAGGTATCGATATTCTGGGACTGGATGGGCCGCGACGCATTCCAGATGGAAGCGTGACTCTGACTGTGGTGGAGCCTTCCGTTCCGAGGACGATGATCCCGTAATCTGGTGGTCCCTCCCTCCTGCGTCCTGCCTCGCCGCGCTCCGTTACGCTTGCGGCTTGCGCACGCATTCCGTTGCCCAGCATCGGTGGGCTCTGCGCCGCCAGGGCCCAGGGCGCCGGTGGCTCCAGGCTCTAGCCTGCTTCGCTTTGAAGCTGTGCAATCCACATCCGCATGACATGGGTCATCACTACTCACTAGTGGGCTTCTACAGAGCTCGGAGAGGTATTTCTCCTAGTCCCTAGCCTTCTGCAATCGTGGATTCACTAGCAGGACTATTTCTTGAGATTGCGCCAGATTTTACATATGCTTACTTTGCTATGGGGTAGTCAGTCGTCTTGTGGCTCTTGTAGATAGCTGGAGGTGAATATGTAATGATTTTACGTTCGTGAAGACTAATCGGAAGATGAAATTTCTCGAATTCTTTACTGCTTCGCTGTGTCGTTTGCACTACAGCGTGTTGGTTATCGGGTTTGTTGTTCTAGGCCAGGGCCTTCGAGAACACCGGTTGTCGCTCAAACGAAATCGAGAATGAAAAGTGGGTAAAACGAAACTTGAGCGAAATAAGATGAATGATTTCATTAAACTTGTTCCTCTCCCCTTTACACTCCCCATAAGGAGGCTATTTATACATGCTCGTAGACTTCTTACGGGACAAAAATGCCCTTGCAACTACTACATATCCGGAGGATATTCCCCGCCGCCGTGGGGCTTGTTCGCCATCCGGACCCCTCGCCTGCCTCAGGTAGCACCATCCCGGGGAGACTCGACCGGCCCTGCCCTGTGTCGCCTGCTCAACCGACCAGCTGGTCCTCGAGCAGTCAGACATTGTCGGCCACGTGAGGGCGGCTAGCTCATTCCACGGTGAAACCTGCAGAAACAAGCAACCAAACCATTAACAGCTATTCGCCAGAATAACCGAGATTGTCAGTGAGCCTATCACTAGGGCGAAAGGAAAAGAACTAGGCACGGCCTAGTCCCGGCCGCATAGTCCACCCTTTCACTATAGCGAAAAGGGAAGTCTAAGAATGGGACGGCAAGTGCCGTCCTTACTTCGCTGCGGCGAGAAGGGGGCTCGACACATCCTTCTCTTCACACATGGCCAGCCCTTTTGCCTTTTATTATAGCGAAATGCTGAGTGCGCCGGAGTCCAACTCCTGTTATTTCACTTCCGCGAGAAATCGGGACGACGATTGAGCCACATAGGGTGCCCATATGCGGGGCACGCCCCCAACATTAGCCCCTCGGAAATGCACGAGGAGGTTCTCGATCCAAGCGCGTTTGCCTCACGAATTTATGGGACTATCGCGCATTGGGGCTCGTACGCCGTCCCAGGCGAAGGGTGGAGGTCTGTGCTGTTGCTATACACGTATATATGTATGTATTTTATTTATTATTATTATTATTATTACTGTAGTAATTATTATTATTATTTATTTTATATATTTATTATTATTGTTGTTGTTGTTGTTGTTGGAACAGTGTGTAACCGTTTTTCGGTTATCACGCCGTGTAACTGTTTCTCGAATTTTGAACCGTCGCGGCATTTAAGTGAACCATCACGTCGTTTCCTCGATTCGCACGCCAGGCCCGGCAGGTGCCTATATAAACCCCCAAGCCAGTGGAGTCGTGCGCGCTCGTCTCACCTTCAGCCCTTATTTGAGAACTACGCCTTCGCTCTTTGTCTCTTCGCTTGGGTTTTCGTTCTCTTGGTCGCCTTGGCCAGGACTCCAGCCTTCGTCGATCATTTCGCAGGTTTGTATTGGCTTTGCTTTGTTTGTTTTTTACTTCACTCTCATGCACTTGTACTTTTTTAGTGTTTCACTTTTTTCGCCTGTTTACTATTTTCTGTTTCTGGGTTTTGGTATGGAATTCGCTTGGATAGATGTCAAGTGAGTCAACGTCTGGCGCCAGTTTGTCCAGCGGGAGCTCATCTGACGTTGACGTTTCTAGTTCTGAATCCTGCACTAATTCACAAAGCGCATCTGAAAGAATGGGAGCTCAATTGCCGAATACTCAGGATGATAACACGATGCCTGCACATGCCGGCGGAAGTCCCTGCAGTCCTTCACGCGATACTGATGCTGAGGAGACTGATACGGATGTCAAAATTGTGGAAGAGGGTGAGACCCCTGGGCCAGTTCCTGCCGCTGCTAAGGGGCAACCTGATCTAACTCCAGCAACTTACCGGTTGGGGCATTCCTGTGTTACTGAAGCGGAGCTCGACAAGTACGTTACCCAAGGGCTTATCAAGCCTACACTCCGTGGACTGTGCTGGGTGCTAGGCCGAGAAGAAGTGCCACACCCCGAGCCGTACAAGGCCATCGTCTTCCGTGACTTCTTTGCAGCAGGACTGCGGTTTTCCTGCGAGGACTTTGTAGGCGAAGTTCTGCAACGCTTCAACTTGCAGATACATCACCTGACTCCCAACGCCTTCGCACGGCTGAGCGTATTCGCCATGGCGTTGAAGATGTCTGGGTGTGCTTTAAGTGTGAACACTTTCGAGCGCTACAATGAGACCCATTTTCACACGAAAACTATCAAGGACCGGCAGACGAAGGCCGAGATGGTGGCCCACTATGGGTCCTATATTTTCATTCCAAAAAAGACCAATGGTACTGTTCAGATCGTACCAGCTTACCAGAATAAGTGGCTGCGGTGGACCAACTATTGGTTCTACCACCGCATGTGCTCTGACGAAGATGTTACAGCGGCACTAGAAAAC